CCAACTTGACTCACATGGCGGCTATAGTTCCCTTCCTCTGATTGCTCGGGACTCAGCTCGGGTTGCTCAACGGGCATGGTAGGTTCGTCCCTATTCAACATCTGCCTCATTTCTTCCCTTTGTTCCGCTAACATAGCCCGAATCATGGCTTGTACTCCAGCCATGGTGATTGGCTCGGGTGCAACTTCTACTACAACAGGTACTTGTTGAATCACTGGGGGTTGATCCCTATTCCCATTTGCATTCCCAGCTCCACTGCGGGTTCTTGCCATCTTGATCTATACACCGAATAAGGTGAATTTAGATCTTTATTCATGATAGACGTTTAAATTATCCTTATCTCTCCGAAACGTTTACATGTTAGTTCTAATATTGTAGTCGTACGTTTAGAATCCTAAACACATAAGGTTTCCAGATCCGGTCGGCAACAGACCATAGATCCGAACAACTAACAACACATAAGGCATAAAGCATTTAGCACATATAAGCATTTTAGGCATAATTCCTAAAATAAGCTAGTGCTCACACCTCACAATCATCGCTTAGCATTCTAAGTTTAAGTCTAGAAATCTTTACAAATTCCAAGTTCGCTTAAACTAATGCTCTGATACCAACTGTGACATCCTCATTTTCACGGCCAGAAAAGACCGATTTTGTTTATGCTTGTTTGAAAATCAGAGTAACATTTTAAATAAAAGTGTTGCGGAATTTGTCCCAAAACAAAATATGATAAAGATTTATCAAAAGCATTTCCAAGGAAATGTATTTCATTAAAAGACTCGGGATGTCATGTTCGATACAGATCAAAAGCATAAACAGTACAATATAAGCCTTACTACATTATTTGATATCTACAGGCCTATATCCGTAATCCCTCATCCAAAACATCACATCTATGCTCGAGCGCCACTACCTGTAACTCATGAAACTGAGTCGGTCAGGCTTGGGAGCCTGGTGAGCACATAAAGGTTTTCAACCCACAATAAATAAGTTTATTAATTTCATCGATCAACAATAACCTGATTACCCGTTCCTGTTATCCTCACTTTACGTCCCTAAACACCTATCATAAGGGACCTAGCCTAAGGATCATCATCGGGATGGACACTACTGCTAAGGGGGTTCCTCAGCAATAAATGTCCTAAAGGCAACCATGAGGGGGATGGAGTACACCGGTGAACACATCGTTCACAAACACCTACAGGTTGCGAGCCTGCTAGCGTTCCACTGGACTGTCTAGAAGAGTCCGTGGTCGTCATCTATACTCCGCTAGATGACTGGATCACCAACAACATCGAGGCCTCTCATCATTTTATCACACATCGTCTTATTACATCTACCCATGTTTTACCCCAACATTTTTGTAGATATAAAATACATATACAGTTTAAATCATGAAAAATGTGTATAAATCATTCATCCAACATGGACATCAAGTATTCAGATAATATGCACACATAGCACGTAATTTATATAAAATACTTCATATCTATGTGTAAGATGAAAGTAACTATGCACTCACCTGAAAGGTGGTGACTCGGTACTCGAACAGCACTTCGTTATCTCAAAACAAATTCTCCTTGACCAAAACCTAGTATCAATACCACTAGAGTTTAGTTTTAACGTTAACCGCGACTAATTAATAGTCTAGCTATTATTATTATTATATAAGCGTTAAATAACACTCAATATAACTCATAATAATAGCCCAAATAATTATTTTAAGGTCCTAATAACATTACTATATTAAAACATAAGTTATACTAAAGATAGGTTAGGCGTAGCTCACTTACAGCGGGTTTTTCTCAAAATCGGGCTTCGCTGGAGCAGCGTTTCCATGCCGAAAGGCTCTTTTCTCGGGACTCCGGGAGCCTCGGGGCTTCCTTCGGATGCTAGGGGGTTTACCTAGACTTTAGGGGGGCTTAGGGAGCTTAGAGAGAGAGTGTAGAGAGATAAAGTTGAAGGGTGAGGTGTGAGGAAGTTGGAATGCCCGGCACCTCTATTTATAGTGAAAATATCTGATGGACTCGCCGAGTCTTGACTCATACTCGCCGAGTTGGTGCATGTGGCAGCCTTCTGGTGGTGCCACGTGTCCAATTCTGGTGGTGCCACGTCACCCAATATCGCGTATCAGCCTCCCGACTTAGAAAAATCATAACTCTTGCATACGAGCTCCGTTTTCGACGTTCGTTTTTTCAACGCGTAGGTAAAAACAGGATCTACAACTTTCATTTAGACCCCGTCGGCTAATTTTCGACCGATCTTAAATTTAACAGTAGGAGGAGATTAGACTGCTAAATGACCGCGAAGAATTCGTAACTCCTTCATACGGAATCCATTTTCGTCTGTCTTTTTACCGTTGAGTTCCTATTAATGAGATCTTCAACTCTCATTTAGGTCGCGTAAGCCAAAAACCGCTCAAACTAAAGTTCGAGTTTCGGGCTGTACACTGCTAAGCCGAAACTTTGAAAAATCATAACTTCCTCATACGAAGTCAGATTTGGGCGTTCTTTTTATGGATTTTCTCGGTTTAACATACTCTACGACTTTGGTTTAGATTACTGAGGCTAAAAAGTCTTCTATCGTAAATTCACTTTTTACGCTTCCCGGTGTCGTGCCGGTTCCGTCGCGAAACTTCGACGGGTCATAACTTCTTCGTTATAACTCGAATTTCGGCGTTCTTTATATCTCCGGAATCCTTGTTTTGACCACTACAACTTTTATGTAAAGATATCGAACTTATCTCACACTTTAATTTTTGACGCTTATTTTTATCCTTTATTTATTTTAAATTTACAAATAAGTAATAAGCATATAAATGCACATAATTCACATCATACTCAAACAATTCATCTTTATTACTTCAAAAAAGAGTTACAATAGTTGACCTAGACTATTACATCGTTTAAAAATGCTTAGCCCCAAAACCCGGGCGTTACAGTAAGACTCAGATTTTAGGCTAAGCAAGGAATGTGTAAAATGAACTTTTACTCTGAGTGTTGAACAATAGGACTTGAACCCTAACTTTGGGGTTGCAGATCAATTAATAATTTGGGGGTATTTTTTGGTGCTAGCGCGTAGGATTTTCCGAATCGACATTTCGAGCTTCTATCTGAGATGTTCGGGAGTTTGAGGTGAGTTTTCCTCACTGTACTTATGGATCGAAGGAACCAAGGTCGGCCCATTGGTTTGATAACCTGATATTTGCTGATATGTTGAGTATGGAATAGATATGCATGATTATGCTAGTTATTGATATGCTAGTCAGGTTGATCGGTAGGACTACCTATGATTCTGTATGCATGATTATCTGTATATGTTGTTATTTGTAGACACATTGTGTTGGGTTGAGGTTGTACTGCTTCATGTTGTAGCCAACAAACCCTGGAGCATTCAAGATATGAGCTGAGGACCGGGTGGTATGATAGACTCATACTGAGGGCTCAACTGCATTCCAGATACGAGTTGAGGCCCATGTGGTATGCCAGACTCGTACTAAGGGCTTAAGGGTATTGGATCATTCCAAATATATGAGCTGAGGGTCGGGCGGGGCATGTCAGACTCATACTGAGGGCTCATGTGCATTCCAGATATGAGCTAAGAACCATGTGGTATGCCAGACTCGTACTGATGGCTTGAGGGTATTTCAGTCCGATGACTAAATGGGCTCAGGGAGCAAGCCAGACATAAGTTGCGGCCCCCGGGGGCAAGCCAGACTTATGTTGTGGACTCAGGAGTAAGCCATATATGAGTTGTGGGCCCGATAGGCAAGCCAGACTCATACTGTGTGTGTGTGTGTGTGTGTGTGTGTGTATATATATATATATATATATATATAATATATATATATATATATATATATCTCAGTGTTGCAGAAATCGGTTAAATCGGCCGATTAATCGGCGCCTATTCGCTAATCGGACCTCGACCGATGAGGTTTATTGCTAATCGGTTACTTAAATCGGGCTTGGTCAAATTCGGTCAAATGCGGTCCTAATCGGAGCTAATCGGCGCTAGTCGGAGTTAATCGGTCAAAACCGGTCAAAGACAATTCAAAAAATTTAGGGGCAAAAATGGCAATCTGAAATTATTTTTCTAGGGTTCGTTCCCACTCCCACATTCCATCGTATTCAATTCACTGTGTTTTCTCTCTTTGGATATTTTGAAACACCGACTTCGTACTCACCTCGACGCCTCCTAAGCTCGTTCACTGCATTGTCGACTTCCAAGCTCACCTCCGACGCCATACGCTTCTACAGAATCCTTCCAACGTCTGCCTTGTTTTATCGAGCATCTCATACTTCAATCTCGCCTCAGAGTTAGTGGGTCGAACATCTCATAGTTCCAAATCCGACTCAGGTAAGTTTATTTTGACTTTTTTTGTACTTGTGAAGAACCCAAAGAATGTTACTGCTTATTAATTTGTTAGATAAAGTCGATTCCCTGAATTCTCTACATTCATTTAAGTTTTGTATGTGCAATCGATTCCCTGTATTCTCGTTTGGATTTTCCTCCTTTATTTCAGTCGTTTCTTTTTCACTTAAGCTGTAAACATGGGTTGGATGTGTTTATTAATTGTTCAGCAAATTGAAGCTTAATTCTTGTCACAGCTGTACATTTTTTGATCGAAGCATGTGCTCTTCTCTTTTTCAGTTTTTCTCTAGTGTCGATTATTGCTTGCTGGACCATCTCATAAACTTCTAATCAGATTTAGTAAGAAATCTGCTTGATAAGTATGTTAACCTTTATAACAATAATCATAAAAATAGAAGTTTTTTGGTTCAACTCTTAAGCCTAAGTTGTTTACCTGTTAAGCCTAAGTTTTTTCCAATTAATCTGTTACTATGAAAGTATTAAGTTGTTTACCTGTCAAGCTGTGAAGCTATTAAGTTGTATTTTTGTTGTGAAATTGTTAAGCTGTTAAGCTATTAAGCTGTATTTTTGTTGTGAAGTTGTTAAGCTGTTAAGCTATTAACCTGTCAAGCTGTTAAGCTATTAAGCTTTTTACAAAGTTGTTCACTGTTTTGTAACTTTTGTTGTTAAGGTGTTAAGCTGGATTTTTTCTGTTAAGCTGTTAAGTTGTAAATTTGTTTTTAACTTTTTATTGTGTTAATGTGACAGTTTTGATAGAAGGTGACGATTAATGACATCAAATGCTTCCACTACACCATCTGTTGGATCAACCCCCACCACCACGGGTGCACATAAACGTAATTCAGATGATGTTGGTTGGGAATATGGTTTTATCCCGGATAAAAGCAACATGGAGAGATTGCAATGTATCTTGTGTGGAAAAACATTTAGGGGGGATTTCTAGAATGAAACAACATATTGCTCATGTGAGGGGTAATATATCCTCATGTCCAAAGTCTACAAAAGATGATCAATTGAAATGTAAAAATTCTCTTAATGAAGGGAAGCTAAAAAAGAAAGCTAAACAAGTGCATAATGAAGGCTTAAGGGTGGAGGTGAGACAAGAATTTCATGAAGCAGAAAATTCTTTGGGGTCAAAGGCACCCAATGTTATAGGCCCCATGGATAACTATGCAAACATAATAAACCCAGAAGAAGGTTTGAAGGAGGGAAAGGGAAAAAATGTTGATCTTAACAATATTGTCCGAAAAGAAAGAATATTAATGGTCCATAAATTCATTAGTAGGTGGGCATATGAGAGTGCGATTCCTTTTCATGCCTTTGAAAGGGATAGCTTCAAAATGATGTTGGAGGTTATTGGCCAATTTGGAACCGGGCTTCCATGTCCTACTAGATATGCTTTGAGTGACCCACTTCTAAAGCATGAGGTTGAAAGAACAAAAAAAATTGTTGAAAAAAAACGAAAAGGGATGGAAAGAGGATGGATGCTTGATTATGACCGATGCTTGGTCCGATCGAAAGAGAAGAAGCATTATGAATTTATGTGTTAATTCAAAGATGGGTACCGTTTTTTTATCTTCAAAAGAATGTTCCGGTGAAGCACATACAAGCCAACACATATATGAGTATGTGGAATCTTGCATTCAACAAGTTGGTCCCGAGAATGTTGTTCAAGTTGTGACAGATAATGCCATGAATAACATGGGGGCGGCGAAGTTGCTAAAAGAGAAAAGACCATCTATTTTTTTTGGACATCATGTGCGACACATACCATTAACCTTATGCTTGAAGGTATTTACATTATTTTGTTTATTTGTTGTATTTATTATTTTATTTTTATTACTTTATTTAGTTTAAAAATGTTTAATTGTATACTATAAGTTGTTATTTGATCGTGTTTATTTTTTTAAGGTATCGGAGCACTCCCAAGGTTTAAGAAAATCCTAGATCAAGCAAAGAAACTAACCATATTCATTTACGCTCACCACAAAACCTTGGCGATGATGAGAAGTTACACCAACAAAAGAGAAATTATCCGACCGGGAGTCACGAGATTTGCTTCCGCCTTTCTCACATTACAAAGTTTGTCCGAAAAAAAGGAGCAACTAAGACATATGTTCTCTAGCAACAAATGGGAGGAATGTAAATTTTCCGGTAAGCCTAAATGGATTGCCTCATATAAAACGGTGACAAGTGTCCAATTTTGGTCCGGTGTGACACAATGTTTAAAGGTGTTCTCCCCTTTGGTGAAAGTCCTTAGAATGGTTGATGCGGATTGGAAGCCCTCAATGGGTTTTGTTTAAGGGGAGATTAAAATTGCAAAAGCAGAAATTATCAAATCTTTGGGTGGTAACGAGAAACATTACAAGCCTATTATAGATATCATAAACACAAAGATGAAAGGTCGACTAGATTCAACTTTACATTTGACATCTTATCTTTTGAATTTGTATTATCATTATAATGATTCACAACTCCAATATGACCCCGATGTAATGGATGCGGTTCTTTGAGTTTTTTGATACATTATTTTGTGGAGATTTAGAGAAGCAAAGGCAAGTCGTAACTATTGACTTGCCAAAGTACAAGAAAAAAGTTGATAGATTTGGTTGTGATCTTGCGATTAAACATTGTAAGGTGAACGATGCCGACTTTGATCCGGGTAATTCGTTTTCCTTTTAGTTATCTACTTATCTATTTTATAAAATTTTAATATTTATTGATTAATAATGTGATTTTTTTTTCAAAACCGTAGCTAGTTGGTGGGGACTATTTGGTGGCGCAACTCCAAATTTGACAAAGGTTGCAATGAGGATTCTTTCTTTAACTAGTAGTTCATCGGGTTGTGAAAGGAATTGGAGCACGTTTGAAGGGGTTAGTAATATAAAGCATTAAATTTAAATTTTATAAAATTATAATATTAAGCACGTTTGAACTCTTTGTTGTGTTTAAATTATAGGTACATACAAAGAAACGAAATAGATTGGAGACAAGTAAATTGAACAATCTTGTTTATGTTCAATTCAATGCAAATTTAATGGAAAAAAACAAAAAGAGAAAAGATAGAAACATGGAAGTGTTATTAGCAAATAATTCTCTCTCGGCTCAAGAATGGATTGTTGATTATGATGAGTGTGATGTAGATGAAGTAGATCCTAAAACGGTTGATGAAGCTCTAGCAACAGATGTTAGTCAAGCACCCCGAGAAAGTCCAAGAACGAGGGAACTATTAGATGAAGATTTCGAGTCCGAGAGTGAGATTGAGGAGCAAGTGTTGGAAGAAGAAGAATACGAGTCGGATGGTGTTCAGATAATGAAAGTATGCGGAGAAGATTAGAAGAAAATGTGCGTTTAGTTTTGAGCTATTTAAACTTATGGTGGACTTGTTGGATGATGATTGTGTGTGTTTGTTAAAACTTATTATTAAACTTTTATGCTTATTTTGGAGGATGATTTGTTGTGTTTGTTAAACTTATTTAGTTATTATTAAACTTTTATGCCTATTTACCTATATTCTTAGGATTAAGTTAGATTTATAAAATTTTGAATATTTTTCTTAATAATTAATGGTCCCCGATTAATCCTCGTCTAGCCGATTAATCCCTAATCCCCAGTCCACCGACTAGCTAACGCATAGTGTTTTCTACAACCTTGATATATATATATATATATATATAGATATTATAGATATATATATATATATATATATATATATATATATATATATATATATAGAGAGAGAGAGAGAGAGAGAGAATAAGTTCAATTGAAAAAATAAAAAATGTTGAGAATTGGAGAATCATTCTCAGTCAATAATTTATTTTTTTGGCAAAACGTTCCAGCGTACCGGACCGACGGAGGATGAGTAATATTCATATACTAATATAAATATAAGTGTATTCATATATGAATACACCACCTCCCTCCGCCACCACCCACTACCACCACCACCACCAACCACCACCACTACCACCTCCACAACCAACCTCTACCAACAACCGCCACCTCCATCACCAACCACCACAACCATATTCATATATGAATAATCACTTTTGTTATACTTATTCATGTATGAATATGCGTATTGATATATGAATATACATATTCATATATGAATATGATATGTCCTGTCGGCCCAATACGCTGAAGTGATTGAGTGATAGATTCGTTGTGAGTGGTCCAGATCCATTCCCTCGTCTCAACCTTTTTTTCTCAATTGAACCATTCACCATATATATATATATATATAATATATATATATATATATATATATATATATATATATATATATATATATATATATATATATATATATATATATATATACCCTAATCTAATAAATAAAACCATTTTCGCCACGTAGCAGTTGTTCAGCCCACCTAAAGCTTCTTTTCCCGCTCAAAGTTTCTAACTAAAATTCCTAAATTGCCCCTTTCATTCGGTACATTTTATACTTCGGCTGCTAACTCGGCGCATGAAATCAGAAATTTCAAAAATCTTATCTTGATTTTGTTCCTAATTTCATGCAATTGAAATTTTAAATGTTGATAGCAAGAAATCAACAATCATCGATAAATCAACATGATAATAGCAAGAAATCAGGATTCAATCTCCAAATTTGAATCGGCCTTTTGTCGACTTTGTATATACCTCGAATGCACATTCATCTCCAACAAAGCTAAGCATCTCCTTCACCTTCGTCTCTCTCATTTCAGTGAAGATTCACTCATGTGTCTCTCATCTTAGATTCTTAGTATGCGTCCGGTCACCATCTGATTGTTGATGCTTCCTTTCCCAGACGCCCTGTCCATCGTCTTCATCTTTTCTCTCTCGGCGACTCAATATGGACATTGTGTGTCCCCAATCGGCTGTAATACGGAAGTAAGAACCTATTTTTTGAACCCTAATCTTCAATTTGGTTCTACAATAAATGTCTAAGATTTTAGGACTCAATATGAGTGTTTGAAAAATAATACGAGATTTGAAGGAGAACTACCTTACCGTAGAGATGACAGGTTGATTGTTTAGAAATCCATTTGAAATATCTTAAATATTATGAAGATTCAGGCTTCTCATTTAATTAATTTAACAATTTTATAACCTGTCAGTGTATTTTGATCGTGGTTTAATGTGTGTTTTCAATTTTGTACTTTTCAATTTGGTTCACTGTTAGGTCACATTTTGGGTGAAGATGATAAGTCTCACCTTTTTTTTGCATTTGAAACATGGATCGTTGCTGAACAAAACAATGAGGGACACGATTTTTGTCATCATTTTGATCAATAGGTTAATAAGGTGTCATTTAATTGTCTCCCATAGCAGGTACATTCTTCTCCGTGTATCACCCCATATCTCAACATCATACCATTGTTTCGCCCCATATCCCAACATGTGCGTGCTTGGTTTTTTGTTGTTGCAGAAATTGAAACAATGATATCTACTTGATTTCTTTTGGTCAATTTCTAAAGGTATGCTTCTTTGATATGTTTTATTCACCCGACGTTGATTTATATTGACCTAACTAGGGTTTGGAATTTGTAAGATAAGTTAGTTGATATCGAAATGTTGGAAGTTGATATGTTCTTTTGATTTTTTATTTTTCGGGGAGGGGTTTAGGGTTTAACTTCATATGCAAACAATCCAACTCCTTTTTTCATGGTTCTGATTACCTGGGTAACATGAGGAATTTCCTTGATTGACAACTTAGATTCATAAGTTGATTTGATGCATCTTACACTATGGTTCTTTGATCTTGAACAAGAAAAGCAAAAAGAAAGGTTACTTGACCATAATTCACGAGATGAAATCCAGAACAACATGTAAATGACAGAATTTTAAACCATATACATTCAATGATTTTGAACCAAGGATTTTATGGCAATATAAACAAACCGTTCTCTTTGTTTTAACTCGGGCATCACGAATGATGATGAGTATTAAAACTAATATTATCCTATAAAAAATTTATTTTACAGGTTTAATCGGTTTTATGTTTATAATTTTCAGATAATGGTGTTTGTAGGAATGTACAGGTAACACGGTGTTATTATATTTGAAGTGTGATATCATCTATTTTCTTAACAATCCTTATAATAATTTACAAGTCTCTAAACTTGAAACCTAAGGGTAGGAAATATTAAACTTTGATGAATCCCTTTGCAATATGTTAACTCATTTCCCATTTATTTTATTTGCATTTATTTATGCTTGGTTAATTTGATTGGTTTTTTTATTTGGTTATAGAAAAATTAGTTGTTGACTGAAGAATGAAACGTGGAAGAAAAAAGAAAGAGAAGAAGAAATTGATTGCTAACATATAGAATGTAATTTATAGTCTATAAATCCTATAATAATGTTTGGTTTTCATTTAGTGGTCTTATTAAACACATGATTTTAGGAATATTATTTTATTATTTGGTTGTACCCATATATCCATTAAATCTTTCAGCAAGTTCTTCAAGGGCAACCTCATTTATTTTGATTTTTTCTGCGTTTTGGAATATGTGACAGTTTTTTCGCCATTTGTTGTTTTGTTGGTTATCGGAAAGAAATAAGTTTTTGACCGTATCGATCATTGCATATACAAATTATAGGGATTTTAGATATTTTAATGTTGGAAATAAGATCAGCTACACCACCTCTAACTCTTGCAGGCATACCAACTACATCAATAATCAACACCGCCTTTGGATGCTTTGATCGGTCAAAGTCAACACTTAAAGATTGATTACTGGCAAGTTCTTTAACAGAATTAGCAGTGCTACTACTAATTCCCTTTTCAATTTTGGCATAAGCTTTTCCACGACTATCGTTAGCATTAACCTCCATTGTCTATATGACAAACCAACTTGGTTGGTGTGGTCTTCTCTATGCTAGGTGTACCACTTAGCAATATTGCCTTCTTTGCCCCTGAGTCGCTCTGGTTCTTTCCATTCGCCTTGCTGGCACCATTTAGGAAATTATCCTTCCAGTGTATCAACCAATCAGGAGGCTGCTTTACTAGAGACTGATTCCCTATGATGTCATTTGGAACCTTTGGTTTATTCAAAAACAGAAAAAATAAAAAGTATAATCGGTTAATAAATGCAAAAATAGCAATTTACTTCCATTGATATGTTTATTATACGATCCTACTTTCATTTTTGTTTTGTTACAACATTATACTTTGAATAATCCACCAAATTATACCAATGTTAATTTTAGTGTCCTAATAAGAAGAAATTTGGAAATAGGATGATTGTTATATGTTGGTAAGTTAAAAATGTAATATGCTTTTCATGTTTTCATGAATTTTGACTTCAAAGAAAAACCGATCTTATTAGACCAAAAACCAACAAAAGATAGAAGGAAATTGGTTTTTAGCTAGAAGTTTATTTATTTATTTATTTTTTATATTTGTTGCATGTTATTTCGGCATCATGGCTTGCTTATTTTTTCTACTGTTTATATTAGAAAATAACTAGAGATTGGATGATAGTTGACTTCTTTTTCAATCCTCTCACCGCTCGCTAAAGCATATGTAGACAATTTCAAATGGAAAGGACCACCAAAAATCGACCAAAATTAGAACTCATCCCTCACATTTCTAGCTACTTTCAAGCTTGGTTGAATAAAACTATCCATAAAAATAAAAGTTGTATCCTTTTTGATGTAACAAAAAAATATTTATCATCCTCTATAATATATATATATATATATATATATATATATATATATATATATATATATATATATATATATATATATATAAAACAAAAAACCGAGTCCTATGGAGCAGATTGACCACCTTTTTCTGATTTAGCACAGTATGACCACCAATAGTGCAATTGATCGAATTGAATGGAGCTTAAAACTGGTTTTACAGCTTCTATAGAATTATGTTCAATCCACTTTTTTTACAATTACAACTTCTATTGATCCGAGTTCAATCCACATTTATAATTTCTCTATATTAACAAAGTACATTGCTATTTTGGGTAAGGTATTGCAAGTATATTGTTGTTAGATTGTCGTCATGTTTAATTTGTCATATATAATGTCATTTTCATGATTTATTGTGTTTTTTTCACTATACTCAAACTTAGATATTCATAATGGTGTACATATTTATTTTAGAGTAAAATTATAAACTTACTAACAAACTTCTATCTTTGTAAATTAATAATTTTTTTTGCAAATATTTGATTAGTCATTACGATTTCGAATTATAAATATTATTTTTCTTTCTCAACCGTGGGCGTACTATATTGTGTAATTGTTAACTTCTGAGTACATGCACATATTTTTAAAGTTCAACTAAACTATTTTCGATCGGCTCATTAAAAAAAAAAAAGAGAAACTCATAATATACATTCAATTTTTTAATTATATTTAAAATTAATACCCGTGGTTCCACGGGTTTTAACCTACTATATATATGTATATATATATATATATATATATATATATATATATATATAGGGTGGGGTTCAATAGAGAATCATAATTAACCAAGGAACCAATCGTGACCGTTGAAAATCATAACGATCAACGGCCAAGGAAATAGATGTACACTTTTACATTGGACGCACACACACCGGATTATACCAAAAAATCCACCCTTTACAAAAAAACTCACTACTTTTTTTCGTTTAAAATTTTTTTTAGGCCATGTTTTTTATCGAAAACAAAAACCGAATATACCGTTGTTCACGATTCATATTGTAAACCTATTCAGATTCACATTATGAACCTCCTTAGATTCACAGTGTGCATAATAAGAAGTCAGATTCACAGTGTGAACCTGAACTGATCGGAGCTTTTTCACATTGTGAATGTTAAAATTTGAAATATTTACAGTTTAGATTCACAGTGTGAATCTACACTGATCGAGGTTTTTTTTTTTGAACCTTTTCAGATTCACAGTGTGTATAATAGTAATTCAGATTCACAATGTGAATCTGAACTATTCGAGATTTTTCATATTGTGAATGTTAAAAATTGAAATATTTACAGTTTAGATTCACAGTGTGAATCTGTACTGTTCGAGGTTTTTTTTTTTTTTTTTTTTAGTCGGTGTTGATGTTTATTAATAGAGTACAAAAAATTAATATTTTTGGTATAATTAGTTTTTTTTTTGATAAAAATAAACTTAAATATTGAAAAAACTAAGAAAATTAAGTGGGTTTTTTTGGAAAAAAAGAAGTTCGTTTTTTATATATCATCATGGATCTCTATGGAAAGAAGACGAAAAATCGTGAACAACGGTATATTCGGTTTTTTTTTCGATAAACAACTTGGCCTAAAAAAATTTTAAATGAAAAAAAGGAAGTGAGTTTTGTTATAATCCGGTACATGTGCGTCCATTATAAAAATTTACAACTCTTCCTTTTGCCGTTGATCGCTTTAAATTCCGACGCTTTGGATTGGTTCTTTGGTTCCTTGATTATAATGGTTCTCTATTGAACTTTTATATATATATATATATATAAGATATATATATATATATATATTATATATATATATATATTATATATAATATATATATATATATATATATATATATATATGAATGACATGTCAATGTTTATACAGTTATACTCACAGCAACATTATATTATTTATTCAAATTTTAAAACAATCATTAACTAAACAGAAGAATTGATATAAATTTAAACATCTTATGATTTGTATATTTATATTTTCTTATGGTGTGGTGTCCGTTTATTTAAAAAAATGTATTTAATATAGATAAAGATATTTAAAAACTATATAATTTGTGTAATAATACATCCGCTTAGGAATCTTTGTACGTCATCTCTAATAAATAAAGGTTTTTTTTTTCACTTGTCAAATTTTCAAGAGTTTTGTCACGTGTAATTTTGTGGGAGTTTTAGAACTATTATTTTCCACTTGTCATTTTTTGGAAATTTCTATTTTTTTAAAAATAAAATTCCACAAAATTCTAATGAGTTTATAAGGAAATAGAATCATTCTGTTAATTTGATAATAAAGTCTCATAAATGTTTTAAAGAATATTTGATTTCTTTTATAAATGTTCCAAAAGATTACATTATGTTATGGAAAAATATTATTTTATAAAATATTTAATTTTTAATTATTGATATTAAGTTTTTAATGTTAATAAACTCGTGTAGTACGCAGGTCTCACACCTAGTAACAAATATTTAAATATCTTGAATGGCTAGAAATGGACCAAGCAAACAAAGGATATTAATTTATTATAAGTTCATTTAATATATCATTATTATAAAATAAAATAAAATAAAAAACACTTTAAACCTTTCAAGCCCAAGGATTTACAAAATGCCAACTTCCACTCGGAAATGGGTTATTCACCTTACCAATATAAAATCCTTCTGGCCTTACTAACCAATAACAATATCGAGGAGCAAATCCAAGTTTATCACACATCATAATGGAATGAACATCAAACACATTAAAACTTTGATATTTTGAACCCCACCAAAACTTGCTCCAAAAAAGTGTACGCCCTGTGTCACAAAATGACCAATTATAGATTCCATTGTAAGGAAGAGTATGATTTCCAAGATCATCATCTTTTGATCTTACATGAATTACGATATCCTCGTTGATGTCATTGACTATAAACATGTTCCACGGAGTAAATATTAGACACCAACGATTTATAGAAGATGCACTTGTGTAGGTAACTGGATTTATTGGGATCATCAAGGAAAAGAGGATAACCAAAAAACGATGCATCATATATTTTAAATTAATATCAACTTTGTTTTTATGTATTCATTACCACTCGTATTCTCAATTTATAAGAAGCAGATAGGAGATTTCATACATTTTATTTTCTACAATTGTAAAAAGCTGTTTGAAATTTAAATTTTTGATAATATTACGATAATCTTAAATAAAATAATGTATAACAATTGTCATCAATTTTTGACAATATAGCATTTATTGTTACTTAGGGCGTGTTCGGCAAAATTAGCTGGTAGCGGGTAGTTTGTAGTGGGTGGCAGGTAGTTTGTAACTTGTAGCGTTTTGTTAAACGCTACATGAATTAGCATTTGGATTTGGAGTGTTTTGTTTAAACTAAATGCTAAAAGCTTGTTGTGCCAAACAAGACTTTCTGTTCAAAATGGAACGTTTTGCCAAACGCTAAAAGCTAGAAGCTCTCAAACGCTCCGTGTCGAACACGTTAATAACAATGTTCTAAAAAGTTTGTCATGGCTCCATCATTGGCACGTTATGACTACAACGCTTGTATTTGCCGTCAAACTTTAACAAAATGTCGCCTTAAGTCACATATGTATATAAAATTATTAATTATATATAAAATTATTACTTTGAGTCACGCTTACAAACAACCTGACTCGTCACGATTCAGAAAAGCTTGAATTTGACATTATCACAAAATCACGTCTTAAGTTATTTAGAATTTTTCTTAATAGTTGCAGTCAACATAAAAATATATATGCCATTATATTAATTGCAAAATTTATTTTAAAATTTTCAAAGTTTTGTTTTGATTGGCCAATGCACTAAACAAAAACCACTAGCAAGATGCTATTTCAAGTAAATTACAAAATTGGTACCTATAGTTCTTTCAAATTTACTGTTTTAGTACAATTTCCAAAGTGGTCGGGCAAAAGCTTTCACAAATAGTCCTTAGACAGTAAAATGACTAAAATCCAACATTGGCCAAAAATAATACGGATATATATATATATATATATAATATATATATATATATATTATATGATATATATATTATATATATTATATATAATATTTATATATATATATATATATATATATATATATATATATATATATATATATATACTAGGAACCTGATGAGGGCCGTGATAATCACGGCCCTATAGAGTCGATTCCGGAGCAAAGTTTTATCACAGTTAAGCGAAATGGTAAACCAAAATAGTACAATGTAAAAAGATAATATCTATATAAGTGTGTAGTCATTATAAGAAGTTTAAGTTGAATGTTTATTCTTTTAGAAATGGTAAAAGTGTAAAAATATAGTGTGTTTACTGAAACTTGTGCATTTCATTCCATGGTGTTAAGAGAATGTGCAACACTTATACTCTTGATGAAAATATAGGGAATATAGCATTGTACTTTAAAAGTACAATGTTGTAAGGAAAGAAAAGATATAATTTAAGTACACTGCCATTTGTCCCATATAGAAATACAAAATCACAAAGCATACCCTTGCTAGAAATATTGGTAATATAGCATTGTACTTTAAAAGTATAGTCTTTTAAAGAGAAAAAGATATAATTGAAGTACATTGGAAATACAAAATCACGAAGCATGTTGTGGTACGCACCTGCAATTGGAGTTACACGACTTTGTGTGGTGTTGGTAATGACAATGGAATTGGCATTGGCATGAACTCTGATTTGAACAATTTTTGGCCTGTAGCCACTCCAATACTTTTTAGCATGCTCATAAGGGATATGGATATGAATCATATTAACAATTTTAAACCGATCAGGTTTGCAATCTCTTATTTGTTTCATTCGACAATGTTGTGGTATATTATCTTTGTGAAATTTTTTAATCATAATATAATAATTCAAATGAAATTATAGATAATGGAACGAAGGTTACATCAGAGTTATTTTTGTAAAGATTGTGTTGCAAAGAAAGATGGTTATAAAGTAGTGAGTTAAGTAAGCAAACTTGATAATAAAAGTAGACTAATTATAAAGTACTAATTTAAGTATTCACATTTCATAATAAAAGTAGACTGTACTATAAGAAAACTTCATAATAAAAGTAAAGTAACTATAAAGTAGTAATTTAAGTATGCAAATTTCATAATAAAAAGTAGACTGTAGTTCCATTTTTCATATAAAAACTTGAAAGTATATGTACAGTAGATACTATATGGAAAACTTGAAAGTGTATATACAGTAGATTTTAATGATCTATACGCCAAAAGAAACCATACAAAGATGGTTGTCAACTGCAGTTACATAGTATTTACATACCGAATAACCGAATCTATTCGCAAAAGATACTATTTACATACCGAATAGACCTCTATATTCTATTCGCAAAAGATATGTAGAGGATAGTTACCATCTTTTAACAAACCACAATTACTTTGTTTTTTTAGAGGGCCTTGGATTGCTTGCCCGAGGAACATCTTCTTTCACAGGAAGTGCTAAAGGTGGGACTGATTCAGAAACTTTTTGTTCAAATGGAGAGGAGCTGGAACTTGGAATTTCTGGAAGAAGATGTTTTGTCATTAGAATTGGTTCTGGCTTATTCTTTGGAAGCAAGCATGTGACAGGAACTTGCTTTGAATTCTTAACTTCAACAGGTTTTTCAATTTCAGCAGCCGATGGCAAAGGAACTGTGGCTGCAACAGAAGACACATTTTTGGTTGTTGATGTGCCTTCACCGATGTTTGATCTATGGACCATGTTATCAGACTCATTTGACACAGCAGCAGGATCATTTACTTTGTAAGCTTTAACAATATTCACTTTGATGTCTGTTGTTCCTTGAAAATGCACTTCGTATGCACGAACGAAAGCAACAATATAAACAGAGTTGATTGCAATGGCAATGGAATTGCATAGAGTCTCACCCTATTACACATTAACAAATGTTAAAAAGAATTTATATAATTATAACCTGACATGTTTTACAAGGTTAGATAAAATGTGTATTTACAGTTTCTTCACTGATTTGCACATCTTTTGGAGAGAAAGGTATAAACTTTTCAACTTCAGGTGTGTGTAAATTTGCTTTCATCACTCCACTTTCATCGGCAATCAAAACAGTTAACCTTGACCTAAAGGAAATTTAATAGGTAAGAAAAAAAATTTTAAGAAGTGAGTAAAAGAACATTCATGCTTACATCTGTTGAATTTCTGATTCGATGTGACAAGAAGGACAGGTAACAATCCAAGTTGTGTCGGCTTCTATAGACTTGAAGCAATTGAAACAGGCAGTGTATGATAAGTTACGTTCTTGTTCAGGAAGACTCAGGGTGCCTTTCACCCAAGCAGTTTTCATCTATTTATATGTAATGTAAGTGTAGCTGAAACAAATTACATATGAAACATAATTGTAAAAATGAATTTTTTAAAGTCGAAAAATAGCTTACAGTGTCGAAACGTGAAGTTGCAGAAAGAATAGAAGATATGTTTGTTTCAGCTGGATATGGTAGAAGGAAATAGTTTCTTCGGTAGTTTGTGACTGATAGCAAGTCATTTATTTCCTTGCGGTTGTTATTGTACCTAATTTTGTCAGATAGATGTAATAGTGTATAAAGGAAGATAAATAAAAATGGAAGTTATTTAATAATTTGAAGAAAAAAATATGGTATGAATAGCATAAGTAATACCAGGTGCGTAATTGCAAGTTGTTCACTAACCGGTGGATTGATAAGCAAACCTGAATTTGGCTTCGTTGTTAAAGAGATGGCTGTTTCCATTTTTTTGTAATCAGTACAATAAATGAGGTTTTATTGTTATAATAAAAAAATAATATTTAGTAAAAAGGTAAATAAATTACAGTTAAAAGTTGTGACTTTCAGCCTCAGTCCAAAGAACAAAGGGGGTGGGCCTTGCATTGACTGCAACATATTACCCTCATGTTCATCGAATTGGTTCCACAGAGTGATCACCAAAGGCAGTTTCTATAAAAGAAAATTGTAATGTAATCAAAGTAATGTATATAAGTAATAGGTAATAGATTATTGTGTGATAAGAATTTTATACTCTTCGTTGATGATAATCACATCTCTCCGACTGACAAGGTCAGAACCTTCTTCATAACTGGGCAAACATCGCACAACGATGCCTCTGACATCTACATAATACAAATATATATATAGTTGATAATTAAAAAAAAATATATGTTAGGTAAGTAGAAAAGGTATTTTACTTTGAAGATGGTCTGATTCAGCATGTTCATGGAGCCTCGTAAATGGAGTGAATTCAAAAGTACAAGGTAAATTCACCGGATTGCGATTAGGATGTTCTTGTACAAGCGTTCGCTTATTGAGCACCCATGAAAATTCATATAAGCTAACTGCATATCTTGGATCACATGGGATGACAAACGCATTTGAGATGCGATACCTCCTATATTGTGTGAATGTTCTTGCATAGTAATGTAAATTCTCACTGTAAATAATTGTTGTGAACTTTAAGCCTTCAGAATCTGTTAACATCAGTCGTTTGTAAGAAGACCCTTTTTAGTTTGCAAAACGTGCTGACATTCTAAGATTTGTACAAGGGCTGTCCACCGGTTGTGAGTTGCCTGATTGATTTCCATAATCGGAGTAAGCTGTGTAGACATGTTTCTTTAACTGCAACATAAAAATTTGTAAAAATTGTCAAGAGGCATGTAGGTAAATTAATAAAATGAAAAAAATGGAGAACGACTCTTGATAACAATTAGGTAAACTTATCGGATCAAACATGTACAGATTTTCTTCTTAAGAAATTGATCAACAATAACAGTAAATATATAAGGTAAAAAATTATTACGTGTAAAATTTAGAAATTAAAAATCCACGTGTAAATATCTGAAGTAATAAAAAATAACAGATGTTGTTGCCTAACAGCACATCGAAAACAAAGGTATGACTGATAGATTGTTTATACTTATCTAAATAGATCATGTAATTGGAATTGTCTTTGACTGCGTGTCATCAGATTTGATAAACCAACACATAAGATACGTCATAAGGACAAAAACACTGAAAGAAAATAGATCAATTTTTGCATTTTCTGTCTATCTAAACAGACATCATGAACAATAATAGTGGCCACGTGCGACCTAGTAAATCAGAATTATGTGGAGATGGCAGGTGTGAACAATAATCTATTGAGATGAGAATACCTCTGTTTCCCCCATCGTTATACTTATGAGGTGGGATTTTAGAAACTCTAAGTTGGCTCCTAAATTGTGAATAAATAAGTGTAGAAAATTTACAGAAATCGTTTTACAATACCCATTAAAAAACATACAATTGGGCCCCTAAACTCTAAATGATGGTAAACGGATTATTATTACGATAAATGAAAAAAATTCCTCTAAAATTGTAAATAGGAATATAGGAAAGAAAATCCGTTGTAAAGTAAAAGTTTAAACTTAATTTTAAATAAAGAAAAATTTTGTCATATGACTGCAAATATTAAAGTTACCAAATAAATATACACGGCCTATAGTTCAAATTCAAATGTGAGAGAAGTCTAATAAATTTTTGCCTGATAAAAAAAATTTTAATTTTCAGAACATACAACCCTATGCTAAGAGTAAGATATCCAATAATCTAAAATACACATAAACAAAACATTCTTTAAAAACAAAAAATTAATAGGCATCAATACATAACAAATATACCCCATTCTAATTTTAAAATGTTACATAACATTAGAAGATTTACATATTTAAATATATGATATAGTCTACCTAATCTCCTGATCTAATGTTTAGATTTCATCTTGTTGGTGAAGTTTTGTCACTTCCTGATTGAATACTGTTCCAGAGGGGTGTGGTTTCGATACTATGTGAGTAGATTACAGCCTGTAAGAAAGTAAACACATATATATTCACATGCAAAGCAAGAAAGACTGTCATGTTCAAATTGATTTCAATGAGGTTAATTGTTTTTGTAAAACATGAAACCGAGGGAGATCCTAAAAGATACTATGTAAAGATGTTTAATAAAACTGAACTGAGAAATAGAGTAAAGATTAAGGATATCGTAAAATGTGAATACAAAGATGTTTACAAAAAATTATCTTATATTCAAATCGATTGATAAAAGGTAGCTGACCTTTTTCATTGAAAAGCAATGAAATACCATGCATCCTGTGTTTAGTTGCAGAGATTAACAGCTACCTGTTGTAAAAAGAATATTAAATGGGTATATGAATAAAAGAAAAATAAGAGGAAGTTGTAGGAAAAGTACGTACGTTGACAGTTGATGAGCATGTTGTAAAATCTCTTTATAGACGATATTCTTAGTTGTTATATTATTTGAGCTACCATATGCAGATCCGGTTATAAAAACCTTAATATTGTTTAAACTTTTTGCTCTCGAAAGTGCTACATACAACTGACCGTGAGAGAAAACAGGTTCTTTCAAGTAAATGCCAACATAATCAAGTGTTTGACCTTGCGCTTTGTTAATGGTCATTGCAAAACACAATCTAATTGGGAACTGAAATCTTTTAAATGGAACTGTATATTGTTCTCCTGTTGGTGGCTGTAATGGAATTCTATGAAGCAAAACCTCTTTTCCAGCAAATTCTCCATAGCTTATCTCTGCACGTATAACATTCCATTGAAAATCTTTACAGAAAAGTCTAGTACCATTACATAAACCTTCAAACGGGTTCATGTTCCTCAACAAAATAATTGGAGCATTATACTTAAGAACAAGTTTATGAGGTGGCATACCATTTGGTGTTAAGGAATGAAGTAAATCCTCATACTGGGCCTGATCATTTGGATCAATAGTCTCATCAAGACTAAAATATTCAATCTCTTCTCCAGGCAACTTGTATATCAAAGTATGATTAATCTCATCTACAAAAGTATTTTTAGTTGTTAGAACAGCACGATTACAAGTGGGAGAGAAAGTGGCAGGAGTAACAAAAAATGTTAGGATAAACATATTTGATAAGAGCTTCCAAACCGTTAACATCATTACAACCCTGAATGAGCATTGATGATGGCAGAGAAACAACTACACCCGTCTGTAAGAGTTCCTACACCATTACCAAGTGCCAAAAGGAAACTTGAAAAAAAAGGATCCAATAGAGCTTGCATGTTTTCTGTTAGCTGCAAATGGGTAAGAGATTGCCATAAATAAGAATTAGTTAAACAAGCAGAAATAGTTTGTGTTTTACTTCCTAGCCTAACAACAGGAAGAGTTTGTCTAAAATCACCACCAAGAACAACTTTACCACCAAAAGTAGCTGAACAGTCCATTATATCTCTAAGTAGACTATCGAAGGATTCAATTGCAGATTTCTTTGCTGTTGGAGCCTCATCCCATATAATCAACTTACAAATCCTAATCAACACTGCTAAAGAGCTTTGTTTACTAACATTACATACAAACCCTTCAGCCGCATCCAAAGGTATTTTAAAACGTGAATGGGCTGTTCTGCCACCGGGCAATAACGATGCTGCAATACCTGATGTAGCTGTAGCCAAAGCAACATGACCTTCAGATCTAATTTTAGCCAATAAAGCTCTGTATAAGAATGTTTTGCCAGTGCCACCTGGACCATCGATAAAGAAACAAGCAGGTTTATTACAGCTAACTGCATCCATTATCATTTCAAAAGCAACCTCTGTTCTGTTTTAATCTCTCTAGTGTCGTCTTCCATTAAACGATCAAATGAATTTTGGGGGTAGAACATCAAACTGGTGAAGACGTCTTCCCATTGACTGCATTGAAAACAATCAAAAAAATCTCTTTAAAATGCACGGGCATTAGATTCTTTGCGTGTCTCTTTGTGGTGGCGTAAAATGTCTTCCATCATTGCATCTTCAAATATAACCACAACTTGCGCGGACTATTTGGACAGGTAAAAACCAAAAGTGAAGCAAAAAGCCTTCTCAACTCATATGGCATATGAAAAGTAGAAGCTTCTTGCATACATACTTGTTGAGTAGCATCGTCAAGTAAATAACCACGTAACAAAGCAGATTCTCTAAAGGTAGCAACAGTTACCCCGTTAATCATTTTTAAATCAGCAAACGATTTTGGACAGCGAACTCTAGACAAAAGAATTCTAAGATAATACCTTTCGCCTTCGGTTGGATGGGCAATCACAATACGACCAATTGAGTCACCTATTTGCCGGGGTGACCACATATTTTTATCCCCCTTCCAAACAAAATGATCAGGAAACTGATTGTATGTGAGCTTAAGCTTTTTTGCTAAAATTCCTGTATCATTTTCAACAAAAAATTCAGTCAACATAGTTTTTCTTTTACCAGAGTTACTCAGAATATTAACCAAAGTTGATTTACGTTTGAATGTCAAAGGCTGATAGTTTTCTAAATGCAAGGGCAAATGAATAACAGCTGGTTTCATTCACCCAAAGGAAATTTAAAAATTCTCCATGCACCTTCAGGAGGAGAGACCCATCGACCTGATTGATACTCATTAATCTCATTTATAAGGACAGAGTTTGTAACTGGAGAAATATTAAAGCTTATCTTGTCAGAACCTTTACAAATATACTTATATATATACTTCACAGCCTTTATTGATGAACAAATTTCTATATTAATGTGACAGTTAAATTTACAAAGCAAATAGGCATTATACGGAACAACCCATTTATTATTAAGAATAGCACCTCTGACTTTCACTTCAGACCCATCGTTACGTCTACGATATATAGGATATGCATCGTCTGTCTGAATAGTGTGAGAAGAAAAGTCTTTGGGTAAAGATTTTTACAAGAACCCTTCTTTTCATACATACGTTAAAAGGATTTAAAGAGCCACATGGACCATGAATCATATGTTGAACAACCATCCTAAACAAATGAGGATTTGCACTTTGTGATGGTATTTCTGCAGAAACAATTTTGTCAAAGTTGTCACACCCCGCTAAAGCGGAAACGCAAGGTATGACAGCGACAAAGGTTTCATTGCAAAAGATAAAGATACATCACCATAGCAATATTTAAAAGTTTACAACCCATAGCTTAAACAAAACAAAGTACAAGTTTCCAAAATGACATTGTTCAAAATATAACTTCATAAAAAACTTCCACACGATGCAGCATGCTCTATGATGATGAATCTCTATATCCACTTACTAATTATTTCCTGAAAAAGCATGTAAAACGAGCGTCAACTATGAAAATAGTTGGTGAGTTCACAGGTTTAAAAAAAATCAAGATTTGGTATAAGACTTTTCATAAATACAAGTACATTGCTTTAATGAGAACAAAGTTCATTGCTATAATGAGAAACAAAGTTGATTGCTAAAATTGAAAACGAGTTTATTGTCCATAATAGATAACAAGTTTATTGTTATATGTGTAACGAGTTTGTATGTGTATGAGCAAACAATGAGTCTCAACCAAACCTATGACTGAAGCCCTATCAAGATCTATGCTTATCGTTCCATAGATGAATATGGTATCATGCACTCCAGCAATAGGGCGAGTGAGGAGTTGTCAATTCCTAATAGCGTTATCCATAATGACCATTGGCTCAAAGAGTTAATGGTTAGAGATAAGGGAAGGGCCTTAGTACGATAGTTCTCATGTTCCGTGATGCATAGACATACATAGAGAGACATAGCAATAAAATAGCAATCATGTTTGATACAAATCAATTTAAATACAACATTCAAATAATAGTTTTTCGGGACATGCTTTCCACCCCAAAACATAAAAACTGAAAATAGGGGAGTGCGTGAATACTCACAATATGCAAATATAGCAACAGTTTCGAGTCAAATAAATACAACACACATAATAGTTTAGGACATGCTTTTCCACCCAAAACGTATAAAAACCGAAAATAGGGGAGTGGTGAATTACTCACACGTTTCGATAGGTACAAGTGGACTTCGGAATGCACCAACGTCTTACTACCGGGATCCTACGACATCAAACCACACTAGTGTTTCCATGTCGAAATCTAATGCTAATATACTAAATTCTACATATAGTGAAATGCCAATTTATGTTTTAGTATTGATTTTATATTAATTGGTTACACTTTTTCTGAAATAATGAAAATCTACAAATCGCGCGATTAATTACAACATTGGAATATAAATTTTCCAATTTTTAAGTCCTTATTACAACATAAATCACGGAAATAGCATTCAAAGGATAAAAATTCTCAAACTTTTTATTTAACTGTTATTACACATACTAAGCTGGGAAAATTATTAAAAATGGATTTCCAAGCTGTTTAATTATATTTTATGATTTTTGAGCATTTATTCCAATAAAAATGAAATAAATAGAAAACAGTTTCCAAAATTACCCAAACTTTTTATTTAACTGTTATTATACATAAATAGGCTGGGAAAAATATAAAAGATATTTTTCAGTGGGTATTTCTATTTTTCCTTGTTTTATCCTTTAAATAATCTTTAATTGAAGAAATAATATTAAACAGTTAAAATAATTACCAAAAATTTTTGTAACATCATTTACAGTATAAATAACCTGAGAAAAATATCAAAATGGTCTTCATATTATATAATCCGGTTTTGGGTATGGTATTTATGTGTATTAAGTGTATTAACTTTAGAAATTAAGAGAATAATAGTTTACAGTGGAGAAAAATCCTTAAAATTTTTATATAACCTCCTACTGTAAAACATGATGTCTGGTAAATTTCATGAATTTTGGATAATCAGAACTATTTTCCTATTTTTAAACCATTATAATTACCAAAAATTGGGAAAATAGCAAGGCATGATGAAAAATGTTGAAATTATTTTTTGAGTCATCCATCACAGGTAAGGTATGCGAAAATTGTTAGATAAATTTTCACACTCTCCAAGTGGTTTTGTGATTTATATATCCTAACAAAAAGAAAATTGGAAATCATACCAACAGCAACAAAAATTGATGAAATTTAGTGAGGGTCATTATCCATCATAAGGGTCATTCATGAATTTGTCCGGATTTATTGACCTCTGGAAGTATTTTATGTGATTTATGCCCTTGTTTCTAGCAATAATTTTAATAAATCAAAGAAATAATAAAAGCTTTTGGTATTTTACAGATTATCACATGCATTGAGGGCTTTCAAAAGGAAATGTTCGAAATTTATCAGAAGGGAAATAGGGGTATTGAACCCAAACAAGTTAAGAAATGTTGCATGCAATGGTGCATGAGATGTAAATGTGGGCTGAAGTTCGAATTTATGTAGCCCATTCAGTGGGGTTTTAAGCCACGAAATTTCAACCATCATTCACTGGATTGTTAAGTTTCTAAAGTATTTTCCCCAGATTTATGGTTGGGTTTAAGGCCATTGATAATGCAAGGCAAAAATGGTGATCATAGAAAAAGAGCTGTTTGCGCAACCATTTGAAAAATTGCCAAAAATCGGAATTTAATATTTTACAGTGAGACCGTTGGGTTTGAAAGTTAACTCATGAATTATCCAATACAAAAAGAATATCATGATTTGGTTAAGAAATGACCGAGTTATGGTCGTTCAAAGTTGAACAAAGTAATCTGGCAGATTGCATGTTTGCTTTGAGTGCATCCTTAGGACATTTTGACAAGAACATCATGCATGCCTTTGATAAGGTCCGATTTCTAGCACATGCATGGAGTGAATGAGCATCCAAGATGTACTAGAAATGGTTTAAATGCTTTTGACCATGCAAGAACACAAAAGAAATGGAGAAGAAGATGTAATACTTGTTTTGAAGTCACATGAACATATGTGCATCATTTTCACTCTTGCATGGGTTTGATCCCGGATTTTCACCATTTAAACACATGCATTGTGTTATGGTGAGAATCTACAAACCACAAGGGAAAAATAAAGATTTCTAGCCATGGAAAGGCATAGAATCCGAAAGAAGAGAAAACTAAGAAGAAGAGAAGTAGTAGAATCATGAAAATTATGGAAGAAGATGTTGTGTTTACCTTGTTTTGATCTTGAGGGAAGTAAGAACACTTCAAAGTCTTCAAAATCTCGAAATTTGGCAGAGGAATGAGAGAAATTTCGTGAGTTAGAGAGGAGAGGAGAAAAGAGCGTTTGTTGTTAGGAGGGTGGGTGTGAGAGAGTGAAGAGAGAAGAGGTAGTGTGAAGGTTTAAGTTTAATGATTGAGTTTTTGGGAAGAGAGAGGCATGGGGAGGGGGAATGCCGGCTTTTGAGTGGATTAGGCCTCTCTCTCCTAATTCAAATTTTATAAAATCCTCCCTTAATTTTTATAAAAACCCTAATTTTTATAAAAGTGATTTTTTAAGCAATTGATTTATTTAAAAATCTTGTTTTTAACTAATTAATTATGATTAATGCATGATAATTTATATTTCTATTTCATTGGTATAATCCATAATTTGATTAATAAAATTTGATATTAGGAAGTTTATAGCCAAATTTATAAAGTTTTTAAGCTTTATGATTTATAAATTTGGATTTTTAGCTCTTTAGGTTTTTGGAATATTGTTTGATATTCATCATCATATGAAGTATAATTAGAATATTTTAATTTATTTTTAGGGTTTTATACCCTTTTTCAATTATAACAAAGCTTGAAAGTTTCATTCAAATTATAGCATTGGCATTTCCTATTGTAGTTAAGCAACTTACTAGAATCGTAAGTGTCAAGTATATTAGTCCTAGGTCTTAGATGGATCCTAGTTTATGTAAGATTTTGACCTAATTTATACTACTAGGCCATGGCATGTTGTGCATGAATGGTTATTATAAAGATGCATGAGTCCGAGAATGACCTGAATTGACAGTTGTCACAGTATCCCCCACTTAAAAAAGAATTTCGTCCCGAAATTCATTCTATGTCATCGCTTGTCATCGCATGGGAAAAGTTGTGGATACTTTTCCTTCATGAAGTCCTCACGCTCCCAGGTGTACTCCGGCCCGCGTTTTGAGTTCCATCGAACTTTCACAATCGGGATCTTACTCCGCTTAAGTTGTTTTACCTCCCGCCAAGGATTTCTATCGGTTTCCTCAACGAAGTTTAGCTTATCATTGATCTTAATTTCCTCCAGAGGGTACTATCAATGTTTCGTTGGCTAGACATTTCTTAAGATTGGAGACGTGGAATGTGTCGTGAATGGCGCTTAACTCTTGGGGGCAACTGGAGTTTATAAGCTACCGGACCAATCCTTTCAATGACTTCAAAGGGTCCAACATATCTCGGGCTTAGTTTTTCTTTCTTACCAAAACGTACAAGCCCTTTCCAAGGCGACACTTTTAAAAGTACCTTGTCTCCTACTTGGAATTCTAATGGTTTCGACGATTATCCGCATAACTTTTCTGACGATCTCTAGCAGCTTTAAGCCTATCTTGATGATAGCAATCTTGTCAGATGTTTCCTGGATAAGTTCGAGTTTAGTCAACTGTCTGTCTCC